TCTTAAAATCAATCAGTGCTGGTATATGGATGTTCAGCCAGACAAAGGGGTGGATCAGTGTATTCAAATTTTGCCAGCCAAGACTAAAGCATCTTTTCAGAAGGACAAATTATCACTCTGAAGACATGCACTTCCACAGACAGCCCTCATCTGGCAGATCTCTGCAGGAATCACTTGGTGACCCTCTGGGTCTGTAGCATTTGTGTCTGGGAACATTGCTCTATGTACCAGAGCCACCAACTCAACACAGCTGGTCTCATGAAGAGGTGGGATTAGCCTTCACTCTGGACAAGGAAGAGAAACAGCTGGACTCATCCCAGAAAGCTGGGTCTTCCTTGTAGACAGACAGATCTGCAGCTGTCTATCATCCCACTCAATGGACCTCACCATAACACAGAGTAGCCCTCATCCAGCACTGTAGCTCTGCATGTGTGGACAGCAAGAATTGCAACCACATCTTTTCCTAACACACACTGAGACACTGCTGGGATTCATCCCCTGGCCTGGCAATTTGGAAATGCTTCTGGGACACTTCAGGCACAGCTTAAGCATTTATCTTAGAACACAGTAATCTGCCCTCTTATGATAATACTGCCCTAGCAGAGAGGGTAGCCCTACAGAGGGAGGCAGAACACTGAGTTCAGAGCATGAACTTAAATTTCAGTGAGATACATTTTACCTCTAATTAGCACACCATCCCTCCCAGAAACATTTCCATTTTGCTTTTACATGCCAGCTGAAGAACCCAAAGTTACACAAGACTGATATATCATTGTTCCAGAACAAAGCAGTACTTGCCTCATGCACAGCTAGGGACAAAAAATGACATTTCATTGTCTTTACCATGGCAGCATACACACATTGTAACACTCAGCTGTGACTCAGTACAACATCTCTTCCATTCATTGTTCCTGGTCACTGTGGGGAAATACACAATTATTCTCTCTTCTTTTCTGCACCCTCAGCTGCATTGCTGATGGAGAAGGTGCACTTAAGGTCACCCTGGAAAAATCTTCCAGGAGACTGCAGTGCTAGAAAGGCACTAAAGAGACACTACTGCAACTCAGGAATTGCCCCTTATCATGGGGTCCCAAATAGAATTTAACAATGGTAACTAAGATATACTATTGATTTTCTGTATCAGCACAACACTAGTATGGAACCACTGCATAAGTTTTACTTAATTCATAAAATATCCACTGAAAAACAAGCTAACATTTATTTTTGTGAAATTAATACACTAATTAGTTGCATAGTAACAGCAAACATAAACATGGAAAAATGAACACCAAGTATGAAAAAGTTCATGTATTTCTTTCTCTTCTAAAGAGAAAAAGAATTCTTTCACAAAGCAAGTGATTGTGCTCAGTATTCTGTACAATTCCCAGGAAAAATTACATTCAAACAGCAGAGGGCTTCTCTCCAACCTCCAAAAAACCCGAAAACTCAGTCTTGTACTTGACCACCTCTGCCTAGATAATAGGGCTCACATGGTTTGTAGAGTGTGTACCTGTAAACATGCAAAGAGCAGCTGCTGTCCTGCAGATGAAGGCCTGACTTCCACTGAGGAAAGTACATCAATAATTTAATAAGCACAGTTTAACGATGTTTCTGCCTGAAGCTGTATGTTTCCTTACAATTTACTTAATTCAGATACAGTAACTAAGTATTAAAAGTGATTAAAATCCCTGAGGGAAAAAAAAAACCAATCATCACCTACTTTGCCCATTTTACTTTGTGCAGCTAGAAGTTGTTAGTAGATTTTTGCAGACACAATAAAATACACTATACAGCTGAGGCTTCACTAGTGCGTGATGTAATGATTACAGAATCAAAGACTGGTTTGTGTTGGAAGGGACCTTACAGATCACCAAGTTGCAACCATCCTGATATAGGCTGGGACACCTTCCACTAGACCAGGTTACTCAGAACCCCATCCAGCCTGACCTTGAACTTTCCCAAGGATGGGGCATCCACTGCTTATCTGGGCAACCTGTGCCAGTGCCCCACCACCCTCAGAGTAAAGAATTTCTTCCTATTATCTGATCTAAGCCTACCCTCAGTTCAGCTTAAAGCCATTCCCCCTTGTCCTTGTGAAAATTCCCCCTCCAAACTTACTGTAAGCCCTGTTTAGGTACTAAAAGGTGATGTAAGGTTTCTCTGGAGCCTTCTACAAGCTGAAAAACCCCAGCTCTCAGCCTGTCTTCATAGCAGTGGTGTTCTAGTCTGATAAACTTAGTGGTCCTCCTCTGGACTCCTTCCAACAAAACTTCTTGCACTGGGGGCTCCAGAAGCAGATGCAGTGTTCCAGTGGGGTCCCTTGAGGGCACAGCAGAGGAGCACAATCACACCCTTTGACCTGCTGGCCCTGCTGCTTTCGGTGCAGCCCAGGACAGAGCCAGATTTCTGGGCTGCAAGTGCACATTGCCAGCTCATACTGAGCTTTTTGTTCACAAATACCCTCAGGTGTTTCTCCCCAATGCTAGTCTTGATCCATTCTCCCTCCAGCTTGTACTTGTGACTGGGATTGCCCTGACTCAGGAGTATGACCTTGCACCTGGATTATAAATAACTATATATGATGTAGAAACATATATATGAGGAACTGAACAAATAATTTTGCATTACCTTATTTTCCTTCACTTGTATCTACCTTGTCTGCACTGATAATGATAACTAGATAACACTGCCTGCCAGCATTAGCAGAAATGCCATACACAATGGGACTTTGAACTCTTAGCATCTAAATACTATCACGGCACAGTAGAATAACAAATAAAATTACCTTGCTCAGACACATATTTCCCCAATATTTCCAGTGAAATCCAGGCATATTATGTCAGTTCATTTAACTAGTTTTCAAAACAGTAACAAGAGAAAAACTGTAATAAGATTAAATCTGAAATGTGAATATAAATACATACATGAATTGCAGTAAGTTCAAAAAACTATCTTTTCTTTGAAAAACTATTTCATTTGATGACTTTTAATCCCCATACATATTAAGCCAAATTACTGAACATAATTATAGTTGTGTATTTGTAGTAATAGCTGGTTTGGGTTTTTCTTCCTGCAGCACCACACAACTACACAACCAAAAAGTCACTTCAAAATTTTGTCTAGACATCATTAAGTAGTTACATATTGGCATGTTATTGCTGAGGCAATTCTTTTTGCTGGTAGAGTACTAGCTTTAACTTTGTATCAATCCCTATCCATATTGTTTAATTTAAAGGACTCGTAGTATCAGCTGCACAGTAAAAATCTGTGAGACAGAGCTACTGGAACATAAGCACCACTAAAAATTTAATAACTCTGGAGTATAGTTTGTATTTTCTCCTCTGTCTGCACTAAAATAGTTCATCTACTTCAAGTAGCTTTCATGTTAGAAGAATGTCAAAATAGCATAAAGTTTGCAAACTGTGTCTGCAGTCATATAAAATTAAACCTCTCTGAACTTTAAGATTGAAAAAAATGCCATTGTCCTGTGGTGACCTGCCATGCAGACAGAGAACACAGTCTACCAAGGAAAAAGAATTAGAACAGTATTTATCACAGAGTAGTCTAAACCTTGCCACAAAGAATTTTAGGGAAGATTCTTTTAAAAACTGACTCCATGTTAAAAATGCACAGAAAGGCAATTCCAAAGGAGAGTCAAGACACCTAAAACCCCTAATTAATTCTCATTCATTTCACTCAATCCAAACTAAATTATTGAAATTGAAACATCTGTTAGAACCATTTAGAAACAGAGAATCTCTGTAAAAGCTCAAAGGTAAATATGCTCATTAGGAAGAGTAACACTTTATTTTCAAAGGAGTACAATTATTTTTCTGAATTTGCCCAAAAGCATTCCTTGTTTTCTTTCCAAGAATATTCATCCTCATAAATCTCCTGTAATATAAACAAAGAATGGGAAATGTTGTGAGTCTGCTACATACGGCTACAAACCACACCAAACAACTCAATAGCCACCCTGCTATCATTTACTGATCACATCAGGACTGCACAGCACTTGGCTGGCAAGCAGAAGAGAGGGCAGCACCCTTAGAACATATAAACTTGGCTGAACCCCAAGCTGATCCCCACTGAATTTAAAAGGGCCTACCTATGCTGAAGTCAATTCAACAAAGAGATCTAGAAGAAATTATGTAATAGCTGTAGAGTACACAGCATTCATGCTGCTACATTAACCTACTGTACCATCGTTTTAAGACAAAAATTTAGATGTAACAAAATGTCAATATTAAAATAAAAATTACATTAATACACTAAATACACTACTAATAGATCTTAAGGACAGACTGGATTACCCAGCAGCAGTCCAGTCCTAAGCAGCAAATTCTGAGTCCCTGATTATTCTGAGAGAACTTCCATCTCCTCAGGAGGTATCAGAAAAGTGAAGTAATGTGTGGAATATCACTGTTAACCACATGCCAAGTTCTGCCAGGGAGAGGAGGCAGAGATAATGCTCATTACTTGCATGCAACACTGAAGTTATACAATGAGGCCCTTTCTAGACTTGGGCTGGGTTCTCCACACACTTTTGTGCGCCTATACTAGCTTTGGGACTTCTGCTCATTGTGTGCTGTTGCTTAGTGCTTTGTGCTTTCTCATGGCCACAGCAATGAGGGGCAAACAGACAAGAAATGCTCCTGTTACTTCCAAACTGCAATGCTGTCCAAAGCAAAGCTGACTCAAATTCTTCCACAAGCCTGTGCAGAACTGAGCTTTGCTACTCAAAAGAGGACAGCTCAGGCCTCCTTCGCTTTCACCCTAGGATGGCTTCAAAATAAAGAGGAGCTAGATGGTACAGGTCCAGGAGAACCTTCCAGATGCTCTACCTGCCACAAATGGGCCTGGCTGCAATAGAGGGAACTCACTGGTGCTAGACACTGACAACCCATCAGGAGCAGCTGCTACTGCCTGGAATGCTGCTAAGGCAGCCCAGATGTCTAAGACTAGCACAGGCCTAAATTTGATTTTGTCCCCAAACTTACCTTTTTCCATATAGGGACAGATGCTTTTAAGGTATTGATGCAGTACATTACAGCTTCAAGGGATTCTGCTCTGTGCGGAGAGGAGACTGCAATAATTACACTTGCTTCAGTTATTGGAACCACACTAGGGAGAGAAAAGGAACAACAGCAGTTTTAGCTAAAACTTAACATCAAGAGCACCCAAAAGTTGTAGCCATGTCACGTCAGTATTCTGTTCACATGCTCTCCTGACTCATTCATACTGAGCAAGTGTCAAACCACATCCAAAAGATTATACACTTTTTAAAAGAAAGAAAACCATAACGAAAATCAGTACCAGATGTTAGAATTCCACACTCTAAAATAAAGAAACCCACCATACAGAGGCTTTTTTCTTCCATTCTTTCTTTTTTTAAAATTAAGCTTATGGAATTAAGAGGGGGAAATTGTTAACTTGTAACAATGCATAGGAAACTCACTGGAAGCTGGCTTAATAATGAACAATAACAAGTTAGAACAGCCAGTTCTTACCTAAAAACCTAAGAAATCATCTCAGTTTGCATAAGAATTTGTGAAAGAAGAAATTAATTGCCTCACACTATGCAGATTTCGCAATGAAACCAAATTTTTGATGAATTCCGATTTTAGATTCTCATTTCCTACTTAGTGTGCTGTGTTAAACTTAAGAGAAGCACAGGGTTCTGTGTTTCTCCTTGCAGTTGTAGCATTCCCAAAATCTCCCTCCCAATCCTCCCTCTATAGTAAGACTCCTTCGGCCCAGTCTATAGGAAGAAATCTCAGCCTAAATGCTTTGACCTGCCCTCATGACAACCACCCTCTCTGCTGACTATAGAGGAAATCTAGGGAAACTAACCCTCAGGCCTTTTATCTTAGTTACCCTTTACAATCACATCCCAAATTCCTTCAGGATTTCTGCAAATCCTGCTAGTTTTAGCAAGAAATCTCCTCTGAAGTGGGAAGGCCTAAGAGTATGTCAGACACTAGTATTCCGACAGCATTGCAGTTTTGAATCAAAAGGAAAATGCCTATCCAAGACTCAAGGAACAACAGGAGGTTCTCTCACAAGCATGGCTGGCAATTACTATGCCCCACAGCCTAAGCTTCCAGACTTTTTGTAGCATAAATAGACTAAAATCTGACAATAAGAACATTCTGCAGCCCCTCAACAGGAGAGAGAAGAAAAAAATAAAGTGCTGCCAACTTCACACCTTTAAAAAATACAGAACAAAATAAACTAACAGCCTCCCCTTCCCTGGAGTGAAATATCTCCCCACTTTCAAAATATCACATCAGCATCAAAGATCCTTCCAGGCTAAGTGTGGACTCCAGTAAACCCTACCAATAAAACACATTTTTGAAAACAAAATTTTTGAAACTTAGCTCCAGAGCAAGAGCTTGATCCTGCAGCCAGCTTTGCTGCACTATGGTTTCTAAACACTCTTGTGGGTTCTGCAACTATGTAAGCACAGCCATGCAGCAAACAAGAACTGATATTCCAGTTGCAGAAGAATGAGGTCTGGACATACATACCCAAGTCTATGGTGCACTGCAATATGTTTGACTGAAGGCCATTTCTGTCTAACATCTCTGCAGATTTTCTTTATTTCAGTCTCTGCCATTGAAGTATATGCTTCATATTCTAAGTGAATCACTTTTTTTCCTTCAAAATTATTTCTTGTAGTACCTAAACAAAAATGATTTATCAGCTAAAAGCAGTGGGTAAATGAATACATATTGTATCTTTATAATACACATTATGTACTACATTAATACAGAGTAAAAACCCAGGATCTCTTGCTATGGTCAAGGTCAGCACTGTGCAAATACAAACAACTTCCCTAATCATGGCTGCATAATGAGATTATTTGAACAAGATAAATCTTTACTATAAAAGGGAGAATTTAGTTTACACATTACACAGATCTGCAGCCCACAATACCCAAGGCTGGGACATCTTCTGTGGTAACTGGTAAGGTTATATAAGGTTATAATGGCATTTGCCCATATAATTTTTAAATTCCCAGTATTTAGGAGCCTAGTAGCACTAAGGTTTAAGCACAAAGCAGTTTCATATGTGTGCCACGTACATTAAGCACTATACAGAGCTATCAGCCTGACTTTCACCAGCCCACTGGTAGAACTCCACTGGTAGTACTCCACTTTCAACTAAGACCTGAGTTACAGAACCTCGCATACAGGTGTGACATGTGGTTGTCATAGCCACAATATTCAATTTCCCACCCTGAACAACTTGTATCCCAGGGGACAGGGTAACAACTCCCAGGCAGTCCTCTACTCCAGAGCTACTGTTCTGTTTAGTCCTATGATAGCCATATCAGCCAGAAAGCTCCACACCACTTTAGCCCACAGCAGCTATTTAAGAGCTGCCATGGTCTTGCTCTAATAATTCAGAATCTGTTTTCTAAACATAATGAACTCAGACCCAGAACTGATTCATTTGAGAACTACAAGTCTGGGATGTGGACAACCTAAGTTACATTTATTAGACTAGTAACATGTCTAGTGACTTAGCTCACAGATATTAAACTCACCAATGAACAGAGACACTGCCCCACAGTATGGTGAAACAACCAGCTCTGACACTTCATCTACAGAGAGCTTTTCAGACTTGAGCTTGATAAAATCTTTTGGCACATCTTCGTTTTCTTCCATATCACAATAGAAAAACTGAAACCAAACAGACTCTGTTGTTGTTCCTGAAGATACTAGCATCAGCCAACTGCTTTTTATCCAGTGCTCATGCCCCAATTTATGCACAACACAAGGCACTATCTGTTTACCCAAGAGACTAGTCTACATGTGAAATTCACTTCTCAGCAGCCTCACTGAGAGAATACTACCTGCAAATAACAAGCAATTACTTGGTTTTATTGCATACATATTTCTTTCTGATAGGAAAGTCTAGTACAGTGGGATAAAACTATAATTAGTCCAAGGCCCTGGTTCAACAGTACATTCAACCAGCACAGACCACTGTGTAGTGCTGGTAAATCTGTGGTGATATTGTCAGTCCCTCCTACTTATCTCATCAAATCAAACAGTTTAAAACAGAGATTTCTGATAAACATGGATTAGAGTTCTAATCCTAAAGTTGAGTATGCTCTCCAGGACATTCAGGACCTCATACTATGAGTCTGTTACAGACACACAGAAGACACTTCTAACTTATCTGAGTAGAAGCCAGTCATCAGATCACCTAGGAATGAGAAGTAATTTGATCAGCAGCAATGGAACAAGCTGCAGCGAGTAGATGAACTGGCACTTGAAAGCAGTCAAAGAAATGAAGTTATTCTAAGGACACCTTTTTAACAGCCACAAACGAACAAAATTTCTAAGCAGCAGTCAATTATTTTTACTTTATTATCTTTTCTGTTTAAAAGTGGCAGGAAATTTTTCATTATTATCTTGTTTAAGCAAGCTAAGTTTCCACTGGTAAGAAGAAACAACCAGGAAAGAGTAACAAGACCTAAAACCCAGATTCAAAGCAATGCCTGACCTTTCTGGCAATTGTCTTCCATTTACTGCATACATGTTAATCATTTACTGGTACACTGGCTTATAGCTTCTGCTCAGCACAACTGCACTCACCAGACGGAAACACAAGTTCAGTTTTCTCAAAAGAGTACTGGGGTGGAGGGAGAGAATTGCAATCACATCTTCAGACCTAAACAAGAAAAGGTTCTTGTAACATCACATAGAATTCAGGAGGTATTTTAGCACAGGATTACACTCCACAGGAAACTAGGCAGTAAGTGATACCTACCTAACAGAACCTGGGCAGGTTCAGCCTCCACTAATTGGTGGGATGATGGCAACCTCGTCTCCAGGCTGCAGGACCAGGAGCTGATCTCCAAGAAGCACGTACTCCTGCCGAACAGCAAACACCACTTGATCCCGGATGAGAGCAAGCCTGAGGGGGATTGGAAAGAGCACAAATAGGTTTTCAGACAATGTCTGCATCTAACCATGAGATTTCATTAAACAGCAAACTGGTGCTCAGTATAGGGCAGCTGAGGTAAAAACCACTGAGACTTACATACCTTCACTTCCAAGACACTGTCAAAAATACAACACACACCTCCTAATCTTGCATTTTCTTGTAATGACTAAAAAGAAATTAGATCAGTATAACTTTCAGAAATCAGGAATTGGATTTGTCACAGGCCTATGTTAGAACAAACCAATCCATACCAGACCTACTTCAGAAGCTTACAATAAAAAAGTTGGTAACTCAAGAGACAGCAACAATCCAATCTGGGATTAGAAGGAAATACTGTCTTGATGCAGTTTGGAAGGACTGGAGCAATTTTCTTATACATCAAGAAGCATTGTGGTATGCTGTTCATGAGATCTCATGAAGATTCAGTAATCAGAGAGTTGCTCTTGTTGTGCGTGCTCAGACTTTGTGAGGCTTTGGATCTTTTGTACTTACAGGTCTGAAACCTGCTATTGATAAGGAGTGGCCACAGAACTAAGAGAGCAAATGTGATGTGTCTTCTGGCAGATCTTCTACATATTTTTTATGTGAGATATTGCTGTGAGAGTCCATAGCTCTGGATATCATGAGGCAGGGAATCATTTCTATGACTAAGTACAATTACATAGCAAGCATGAGGACCATAGCAGTAAGACAGGAGAAAAAAGGATTGCATTTTACATCACATGACACAGGCATGATAACAGTTCTTCTTTGAGACTACAAAATCTGGCATAACCAGCTCAGCTGTACTGCCTAGAAACAAGTAAGCAGACCAAAAGAGTACGAGTAAAACCTACCAACTAGATAGACAAAAAGTAGTCAAGGCACAGGCTGAGCAGAACACAGTAGCACTGATTCAGAGAACAGACTGAAGGGAGGGATTGTATGAAAGCAAAGCAAGCCACTAAAGAACTGTGCACTACCATGAAACTGAAGTGCCCATTAGAAGGACGGGCTCTAATTAAAGTCCCTTGCAAGCTAATTAGTTGGGGAAAATGTGTCGAACAGAAAAGCACTGTCAAGTACGCTCAAACTGCAATTTGAATATCCATTAGCAATGTGAATAGAAGTCTGTGGTCAATGCCCTACAATTATATTGAGTTTTTCCAGAAAATTCTACCGCCCCAAGTCATCATTCATAAAAGGACAAAGTTGACAAATTACAGCAAAATGACCAATGGTGCTGCTGCTGCTTCTGACATAGACAAAAAGGCTGCAAAGTAAAATATATGCATTCCCTACTGCCTCTAGCACCCAAACACACTTTATTTCAATTCTCTGTGAGGAAAAGGTCCCTGGTCCAGTGTTTTGTGAAGAGTTTCTCACTTGGAAACAGATACCAATGTTAAATAGTTCATTTTTTTTCACAGTGTTTAAGAGCATTTTACTAAAGAAAGACTTGGACATCTAAGTCCAAAGTTTTGGTAAGCCCAGAGCAGTGAGCATTAAATTCTGAGGACCACAACCTCTTTTATAATTTACTCTTTTTTTTACCCCCTTCTATCTCTCCAAAATGGTGTTATACCTTTGTCCATCAGACTTATTCTTGACAGGACTGAGAACCTTCCCTCAGCTTTAAACAGAGGGGACATTTCTATTAACACCCCCAAGAGCACCAATGCTGCTGAGACCCTTACAGCATACACAGTACTTTCTCAGGACCAGACTCCTTATGAAATGCAAACAGCAGCGTTTCAGAGCATTGAAGTGGCTGACCATATTTGTTGTGTTAGGGCTGAGTGGCTGGTAGCCTCTGGGGGCTTCAGTCTCCTTCCTGACCTGCATTGCAGAGTGTGCCATAGGCTCAGACCAATGGCTCACAGTACAGTTAATCACACAATCAATTAAGTTTGAAAAGCACTCTGTGACCATGGCACAAAGTCCAATCTTCCCTTAAAAACCTTCAAGGACAGTGACTCCACCACGTCCCTGGGCAGTTCATCCCAATGTCTTTGCATCCTTTCAATGAAGAATTTCTTCCTAATGTCTAACCTAAGCAATTGGAAACACCCACATATTATCATTTATTTCTTATTAATTGTCCTGGCTGTGCTTGATACCTCCTTGCAACATCTCACCTTCTCCACAGACTAATAACATGGTAGTTTTCAGGTTACCACACCACAGCCTTCCTGGACAATGGACCATGGGTACTCTCAGGCCCAGTTTTGGGTACATCTCCCGCACCTGGGCCCTCCTTGTGAATGCAAAAAGCTACAACACTTCCAGCTGTGCAAAACACAAAACATTTAGTGTTTAGGGTTACCAAAAGAAGGTAACACCATTTGTTTTGTTAAGTACTGCTATGTGTTCCAGCCCAATGCTAAGTACCGAATTTGCATTAAAAAAAAAAAAAAATTTAAAAATCCACGTTTCTTTGTGCACCTCAAGGGTAACTTGCTGCATACCTGGGGTGGACCTTGACGATCTCCTCCCAGAGCTGCAGAGAGGTGATCTCCCGCGGCACCGAGAGGGTCTCGCAGCGCAGCCCCGCCAGCTCCGCGCTCCTGGCGAAATACAGCACCGAGACCTGCCCGGGGAACAGACAGCGCTCAGGGCCGCGGGGCCTGCCCAGAATACCGCTCCCAAAATACCAGCACACGACCGGAACCAGAGCGCCAAGATCTCGATGCCGATCGGCTGAGCAGCGTCCCTCCTGCCCCGGCTGTCAGGACAGCGGGGGAAAGGAGGAGAGGGCGGGGGCCGGTGAGTGACCGCGGATCCGCGCCCGCCGCCCAGGCCGCTCCCGCTGCCCATCGGGGCCAGGGGCAGCGGGAGCCCTGCCGCCCTGTCCGGCACCGGCCGAGCCTCCGGCCGGACCGGCCCCGGGGTCGCCGGCTGGTGGCACCTACCTGGCAGCGCATGGAGCCGCCGTCCCGGGGCGAGCTGCCCTCCGCCGCGGGCCCCCGGCAGCGCCTGCGCCGGGGCGAGAGGCGCCGGGCCCGGACCGCCCCCTGCGGCCTGGCCGGGAGCGCCGCGGGCCTGCTCCCTCTGTCGGGCCGGGCACCGCCGGTTCTTTCCCTTCACGGGTCGTCGCGAAGGCGGGAGATGCCGGGGCTTTGCCACAAAACTCAGGGTACAGTGTTAGGGACGGCACTTTACAAGCCGGATTTTCAGGAGGACTCGCAGCCCCGCGCGCACCGGGATTGCAGATGTTCGCAAACATTATGCGTCCACAGCCTGACGTGTTAAACATGTACTAAATGCAGAGGACAGGTAGAATTGGCTGTAAAAGCCACGGATCCCTTTCAGTGCTGACACAGGATTTCAGGGTTAGGGCCTGTTTCACCTCTGCCTGCAGTAAGTGAGCAGGGTGGAAGAGCGCTGGCTCTCACCGGGGAGGGGAGAGTGACACGGGGTGTGTAGAAAGTGCTGCCGAGAGACCCAGAGCAGTTGTTCTACACGGCATAACTGTGTCCCAAAACTACTCCTTGTGGGTGGCCAGGGTTATTTCTGTAGTGTTTGTCTGGTGACACTTGTAACCTCGCAGCAGTAATGGAGGAGCTCCTCCAGGCAGACAAACCAGGGGTAAGTCCACAGCCATTAGCAGTGTGCAGAAAATCATTCTGCCAACTCCCAGGGTCCACAATGAGACAGAGGAGTCCTGCAAAAACAAACTCTACTGAAAACTAGGGAGATCCCACTGGGGCATAACCATCTAGGATCTTTCCAGTTTTTAGCAGACACAGCCTCCATTTATTCTAAGCACCATCCTGCTTTTCCCATAGGGTGAGGTACTAGGAAGATACAACTTTTCAGAGATCCACATACTACATATCTCCCCTCCAGCATGTATCCCCACACCCATTCTTCCAGAACCTGTTTGGTTCTTTCAGGTTATCTAGTTGTTTGCAAAGGCATGCACACCCATTTCTCCTACCATCAGTGCCATAGAGTTTATGGGCAGTAATTGTGATTTGGGCTGGTGGTCATTAAATTGTTAAGGTTGGAAAAGACCTCTAAGATCATTGAGTCCAGTTGTTACCCCAGTACCACTGTGTTCACCACTAGTCCATATCCCTGGGTGCCATATCCACAGGTTTTTTTAACCCTTCTGGGGCCAGTGATTCTACCACTTTCCTAAGCAGCCTGTTCCAATGCCTGATCACCCTTTCAGTGAATCGTTCTTCATATACATACTAAATCTCCCCCGGTGCAACTTGAGGCCATGTGCTCTTCTTCTGCTGCTTGTTCCTTGGGAGAAGAGACTGACCCCCACCTGGCCACAGTCTCCTTTCAGGCAGTGGTAGAGAGTGATACGGTCACCCCTGAGCCTCCTTTTCTCCAGGATAAACACCCCCAGCTCCCTCAGCTGCTCCTCACAGCACTTGTGCCCCAGCCCCTGCCCCAGCTCCATTGCCCTTCTCTCGACAAGAACATCAGTCCTTCCTGGATGCAACACTGTCGGTGAAAAAAAGCAAAAAACAATTTAAAAAACCCAACCTAACAAACAAACAAACAAAATAAACAAACAAACAAAAAACAAAAACCACCATCAACAAAACTGAGAAAGGAAGCAGACTTTTCTGCATAATAATTCTCTGATTTACAAAAACAATGAAAGTTAAAGTGATTACGTTTTTCAAAAAGTGTGTGATAGAAATACAGTCATTTCTGGAGAGCAATTGTATTGCACCAGTTATTCAGTACATTGTGTCTTAATCCTCTGCTGCGAGGAACAAATAAGTTACTTTTTAAAATTGTGTTCTTTTGTGAATGATTAACTGGTGTTACAAATTGAACTCTCCTAAACACAGCATGTGTCAAGTGAACAAAATAATTGCTTTCTTTTTTTCTCTGGGCTGAGTAATTTTGGATCTATACATCTTAGATGGAATAGATCACTTTGACATGGTGTGTGTGACCCAGCCAGTAGCTAGCAAGTGGCTGGCACATTTTTCCCATGCAAAAGGTATACCATAATAGGTGTTCTCAGAGTGAAGTGGAGGAGTACTGGCCTCAGCTGGAGAAAATTAGCCTCTCAGCCCAGAAAACAGTGAGCTTTGAAGGATTTATCTGTACATTTAGGGTTAAGACAACTATGGAATAAGGAGAGATGGGTTACTGACAGTGAATTTCTGGATTTTCTTTCTTTGATCTCGAAGAAATAACTCACCTAAACCAATTCTTGAGTATTTTTCAAAGGATGGATCAGTCTTCAGCTCTGCATTACATGATTTAGTTTAAGGCAGATTATGTGCCTAGGAAGCAGAGGAATAGAGTATGATTTGTGACTCCTGTGATCCATTATCTATGTTCTTGAACAGCTAAGAAGCAGTTAAAAGTTCTTAATCAAAATCAGGAATTAAGATGAGGTGTAGTATTAGTGGCTAAAACAAAATTCTCCCTAAATACCTCTTTATTCTGTCTTATCTTCCAGGAACATCAGCCTCAGCAAGAGGTGGGACAACTACACTTCTTGGTTTGCAAGAATGAGTTTTATCCAGATTGATTTTGTTTGATTGTTTGGTTCTTTGGCTTGTTTGGTGTTTTTGGGGGGAGAGTATAGATACCTACCTAAAATTAAATAAGAGATAATTTTATAGCTCTGGAGGAGATATGCTAGCTCTGTAGAGACCAGGATTCAAAACTATCCATTATTATATAGACTAGGTCTATATGATATTCTCTTAAAATATTTCCTGTTTTGTATCGTTCTTTCAGGCACTATTTTCTTCTTGGACCTTTTGGGTTGGAATATCAGTAACTTCAATTTATAATATCTTGTTCTGTTACTTCTTGAGTCTATTATTTTCAATTATATCTTGTCCTAAGTAAAGGGGTCTTTGCTGTAGCAGAAAGGTGTGTATGTATTCTCCCATGCCAACATGTACATTAGCTAGAATGTACATCATGTACATTTTCAGAATTTATTTCTTTCAGATGTCTTCAATTTCAAAAAAGTTATGTTATGAAGTCCTCCAAAACAGGTGTTTCTTGTTCCACTTCATAACCTTTCTTTGTTTTAATAATGTTTAATACTGAAAATTCAAATTTTCCTGTATATGTGGGATATCCTTACACTTCCCAAATAGCAGCTTAAAGAAGCTCAGTTCTAAGGAATATTCTAGATAGGGATGTTTTACCTACTAATTTCTTTCTTACTTACCATCAGGAAACTTAGAACTTTTAGATGTAGCTGGAGTATGCCCAGACATTCTGCTTACAGTCTAAAGCACTAATTCTGCATGTGATGTTGAATAGAGAGAGCCACAGCAAAGTCAGCAATACTTAAATAGGTACACTACTCTGTCTGCTAGTCCTAAGTTAATTTTGTAACAACTTAGTACAAGAATTGGTATAAAATATGACTGGATGCACTGGGAAAACCAAAGAGGATTGAACTGGAGACATGTTGTTAATCTTTAATTCTTTTTACCAATGATTTACCTAATGTTGCTGCAGAAAAAAAAGTCTCTCTAGGACTGCACAAGACTGTGATTGTCTAATTTCTAGCAGATTTTCTGTTTCCTTTTGTTTTCATTTTAAACATTTTCTCAGGACTGTTTGGTATAAATCATGAGTTGCTGCTCTGAAGTTCAGATTTATACTTGGGAAATCTTCAGAGAATGTTTTTTACTCCAGTTTTGTTGTTGCGAAGAATTTAGGCCATGTTGATGTCAGACTTGAGTGCTCTTTTTTTTTTGAGATGTTGATGCATAAGACGTTATTTAGAAGAACAAAGAAAATTCCTTTACTTCAAGCTTCCTGAAATAACTAGGGAAAAGAAAAATTATCACTCATGTCATGGAATAACCCTTCATTACCTCACACACCCTTCATATTCCTTGGGCAACCAGCCAAATCTGAAGTCATTTTAGTATTACATTTTTGCTACTGAGTTTATTTAAAAAAAAAAAAAACACAACAAAACAAAAAAAAAGACCCAGAACAAAACAAAACAAAAAAAAAAACCAAAACCAAAACCAAAACAAACAAACAAACAAAAAAAAAACCCAAAGGAAAAGAAGGGAAAAACAAACACCCCAACTCCTCCAAAAAAACCCCAAACCCAAACAACCCCAAAAGTAATTTGGAATAATCTACAAGGATCCAGAAGTCAGGCAGGTACAGGAGAGATGTCACTGTGAATTCCAGTAATTCCACTGAATTCAGGTCTGAATTTGGGATCATACGTGTCAACACTGATAATAATCTGGAAAACATCTTCCTATTTTGGAAGGAAGGAGAGCTGTTTCTTGAGTTTCCATAGTGGAACATTTGAGGGAAAAACTTGAAAATATGAATCTGTCTGAGACACTGTGACCTCTAGGATTCCTGTGTGTGAGGTATATGTGGCCGTTTGACCAATGTATTTAACATTTCCCTTGGCACTCTTTGAAATTGTCTATTACAAAACAGATGGCGCAGTAGTTACTTTTTGAAGGGCTAGAAGAGCAGGACTACATCTGGAATCAATCTTTAGATCCCTAAACCAATAGATCACCCAGTTTTAAGAGGGCCTTCTAATATAATTGCATTGCACAAGTACAGAGAAAGAATACACAGCTTTAAGGCAAAGCATAAGCAGTCCGGAACTATAATTCATAGACACACAAGTCTTTCTGTTCAACTGTCTCATTTATGGGCAAGTCTTTTCTACAAGAATTTATTTTTATTGAGCAACAGCAGTAAGTGAAATGTGTAACTTCTTCAATGAGATTTTAAAAATCCACAAATTTTCAGGGTTTGTATAAAGTATTTTTCTTTTCTGTTGGCAACTGCAGTATTCTTAGAGAGATTACTTCTTTCCTTCTTATACTGTTCTTTGCCCAAAAAGGTAGCTCAAGGTATTAAACTAGAATGCACACCATCATCATCGAGTAAAGCCAGTTTTGGAGTTTTTGATGACTATTAAGTCATACAACACATGCTCCAAAGAATGATGGGAAAGGGTATTAGGGCATTCAGGATTGATGCTAGCATAAAACACTATTTCTGCAAACTTCAATGCC